TTGTTTGTTAACTGGATTAGCACTTTTAATTTCCTTTAAGAACTTTTCTTTTGAATTTACAACTTGGCTCACTGTTTGGTATAGGAGGCCTAACTTTTGGTCCATCCCAGTTTTAGACATGCCTTCCTCACTAGGTTAATTATTTGTAACTTTTTATTTTCAAGTAAGAGATGTAACTCTTCCCATACTTGAACATGTAGAGGAGATTATAGGGTTATTAATTGGCCTCATGTCAATATTGTTGTGTCTTAGGGAGAGGGAGAATTACAAAGAAACAGCCAGTTGATGGAAGAGTCAGAACCCACACACATTTATTGATTAAGCTTGCCATCTTATATGGGTGCAATTCGTGGACCCCCATAATTAATATTAACATAAAAGATCACTAGTCACAGAGGCTAAATGGTACAGCAGTAACACAATGCTCTGTGAGGTTGACCCACACAAGAGGGATCTGGGTTTATGTCCAGAACCTTTCCCAAACATGCTAGGTATGTGCATGTGTGTGTCCCAGATCTGGAGGTGGCTGAGACTGAGGGTGGAATGGGGTGTGAAGACCCTGTTCATGGTGCTCTCTTCACCTCCATTCATAAAAGAAAGAAACTTTTTCCAAAAAAAAAAAAATTGCTGATCACAGACCACTATGACAAATATGATAATAATAATAATAATAAAGTTTAAGTATTTAAAGAATTAGCAACTTGTGGCCTAGAGACACAAAGTAAGCACACACTGCTAGAAAAATGGCACCAGTGAACTTGCCTAATGCAGGGTTGCCACAAAACTTCAACTTATAAAAAAAGTAGTATCTGAGAAGCACAATAAAGTGAAGTATAATAAAAAGAGATATGCCTATAAAAACTTATTTATGGACACTGAATTTTGAAATTTATATAATTATTTTTATAAGTCACAAAATAATATTTTTCTTTGGATTTTCCCCATTTCTATCATTTTAAGATAAAAACATACTTCTCAGGCTATCTGAAAAGAGGCAGTGGCCGTAGTCTGCCGATCTTTGTAAAAACCAGTAGGGTTGATCTACTGATGATGTCTTTGCTCAGCTAACACAACCTGAATGAACCTGTATTAGCTGGGGTCTCTAAAAAGTGACTTATCTGAATTCTATTGGATGATAATAGAAATGGCCATTAATAGTATAATCTCTCCATCTCCCCAGCTTATACTCACCCTTTTCCCCTCTCTCTCTCCTCTGTCTTAGCTCATTCCTGAATGACAAGATGAGTTTAATGGAAAATGTGTCCCAGATACTTCCAACATTGAGTGCTCATGCTATTAATATCAAGGTAACATAGCTGGTGACAGCTTCGTTCATTGATTCATAATTCATGTCCCTGTTAAAGGGTATCTGATCCGATAGTTATACATATTTCACTCTGAATATGCTAATGTTGTCAGTTTAAATCAAAATAAAACCACAGCTTATTTCTTCCTTGATTGGAGAATTAAGAGAGAAAATGCCTCTGTTGAAGGTGGGTAGGAATTCCCAAGGTCTGGAAAATACCTCTGACAGAAAGATCAAACCTGTTCAAACTGCATCATTCTGCCTCTTGGTAATTCTGCCCAAGTCAACAGTAGACATCCTATGACAACATGGCAATAGTTCTTAGGTACTAGCTTCATACATTTTCTAGAGACAGCTTTTCTCGGAAAGATTATTTCAAGAAGTGGTTGTTGTTTTTTTAAAAAGCATTTTTTAAAAACTGTTCTGTTTAAGTGAATAGGTTCATCAATCAGAAAGCCCAAAGGCAGGTGGGGGAAAAAAAAAGGGCAAAAGGTTTTTCTATATTGTTATTAAAGAAGGTGAAATAATATCTGAGGCCTGAAGCTCAATTTGTGAAGAGCATGATCCACAGGACTCCTGTTAAAGGTAGGCTGCTGCTGAGACACTTCAAAAGATCATCTTTATTGCAGAACAATTGCCTGACCCAGTTTCCTGGTCAGCAACATGCTTTTGTAGAAACTTCAGCAGCTGATGAAAAAGCTCAGCAAAGTTAGCACATGTACTTTCATCTGTGGCTCTCAGGAGGAGAAATATGAAAAGGTTTCTAGGTCCCATGGATTAGCACTGCCAGGTCTACTGGCACAGAACCAAAGCATGAAACACAAGGTATGAGCATGTTTTAAAAGGCAGTGTCTAATTTCTTGGTGAATGTACTTGCTATTAGGGTTTGTGGAACAGAGGACTTTCTGTATCCCCAGTCTTCTGGCTATCAAAATATTTTGATATTGTCATAAAACCCTACTCTAAAATGAATTCTTGCCCATCGAGTAATAATTCTCTGCCTTGGTATAAAAAGGCACTCTTCTGCCCTGTCATAGGTCTCCTTGACAAGCAATTCTTGGAGCATAAGCATCTAAACAATATTTAATTTGGAATTCAGACATGCATCATAAAGCTAGCATAAAGAGCAACAATGTATGTTTTAATGATTTCTAAGAGGAAAACACATTTCCACAAATGGCTTTAAGTTCCATTCATGGATGGCTGGAAAATATCACATCTTTAAGCAAAGAGCTTTTCAGCTTTTTTATTTTAACATATGTACTTATGTTTATCAGCAAAAAGAATCTTTCAAAAGACCTATTCAGTTCTATAATTTCTTCTTCTAGTTTTATTTTTTTTCCCCTTTAGGTTCATTTTGGAAAATGGCATTGTAATTCGTTTCTAGCCTTACTTATATTAGTTTCCTAGGGCCGGTATAACAAAGAACCAGAAGGCAGGTGGTTTATAACAACAGAACTCTAGTATCAGGGTCCTGAAGGCTAGTAGTTCGAAGTCAAGGGATTGGCGGGCCATGCTCTAACAGCTTTCTACCTTCTCTAGTTTTTTGGTGTCTGCCAGCAATCCTTGTATTTCTTGACTTACAGAAGGATCTCTACACACCATCTTCTCTTCTCCCTGTGTATCCTCATAGCATCTTCCCCCTGTATATGCCCATCTGTGTCCAAACTTCCCTTTTCAATAAGGACATGTCTAAGAACACCCTAATGACCTAATTTTAACTTTATTACTTCCTTAGAGACCTTATTTCCAAGTGAGGTTGCATTTGGAGATACTGGAGGTTAGGACTATACCTTTTTTGTTGTTCAGAGAGAGATTTTGCTATAGGGTAGATGTGCTTGCTGGAGATGCAGAAACTGAAAATGAGAACTCACCCCCCAAGGGGGATGACCATACAATAATTCCCTTCTCCTCCATTCTCCTCTCAGGATTTTAGGTACACACACACATGCACCACCATGAGTTCCAAACCACCAGGTCCAGAACTCAAACAGTGGGTGCCATGTGGGAGTCCAGTGCCTTAATCACTATGCCACCTGCTGGCCCATATCATGTCTCTTTAAGAAAAGCACGATTCAACCCCTAGAACTTGTGTTATTGCGCATTTAACAAAATAATTTTTGAAATTTATCAAAAGTAGTAAATTTATATAATCTGACTAAGAAAATTCAATAGCATCAAACAAGTTTCTACAATCCCTAAGTCATTTACAGTCACCTTAGGCCCTCACAATTTGAGATGTCTGTCTACAAGTGGAACTTGGTCAAGCTCATTCCAGGTTAACTGCAGGAGGAACCAGATATCTTTCTGGCAGGACTTTTCCTGAAGGTCCTAATAAAATATCTGGGCCCCCCATTCTGACCCTCTGTTAATTAGAATTCACATCAAGGACCTCTAGGACCCACCAGCCACAGTGACTCTGCAATGAGGCAGCCTCTATGCAGTACAGAAGGCCTAACAGCTATTGCTCCATAAATACTCTAATGTAGCTTCTTATCTGCTTGTCTCTGTGGCATTGGGAGACCTCATAGCTCACAGAGCCATTAAGCCCTGGCATTTGAGGGCTTAGAGAATGTGTTTCAAATGGAGAAGAATGTTAGAGCTTACAACAATGGTTCTAAGTTTGAAGTACCCAAAGAGATCTAAAAAATATCCTGATTCTTGGTGCTCACCCCACAGTGTGACTGAACTAGGTTGCTGTGCAGCCAGAGCCCCAGCGCATTACAAGCTCTCCATGCCTTTGTCACTAACTTGCAGCCAAAGGTGAGAACAGCTGAGCTAGTTTAATGCTCATCAGATGTTAATGTGGGTAGGAATTTCCAGGGGATCTTAATAAAATACAGATTCTGAAGCTGCAGGTCTGGGGGTAGGGCTTGAGAGTATATATATACATATATATACAAATATATATGTATATATATTTATATATATACGCATATATTTTTTTTTCTAAAGAGGTTTTTACCTTAGGATATGTGTACTCACCAGAGAGAGAGAGATAGTAAGAGAGAAAGTGAGAAACCATCCCCCCACACACAATGGAAGATGGCCACACCGCAATACCTTTTCCTTCATTCTCCTCCTAGATCTTGGGCACACATGCACAGGCTCTTGGGCACACACGCACAGGCTCTTGGCCTGAGTTTCAAGCCACCAGATCTAGGACCCAAAACACGATTGGCCATATGGAAGTCCAGCAACGTAACCACTTAGCCATCTTTTGGCCCCAGGGGTTCTGTACTTTTAACAGGCTCCCAGGGTATTTCAATGCCATTGATCTACTGACCACACTTTGAGCAACAAGGATCTGGAGAACTAGTTCTCAAACTTGGCTGAATAATGAAATATACAGTAAAACTATTAAAAAAAAAAAAGATTCCAGTGCCTGAATTTCACTCTAATGATTCTGACTTTTGGTCAGGATTGTTGTATGAACAAGAAAGATTCCTATATGATTTGGAAGTACAGGTCAAGATGAGAGTCATTGCTATTCAGAAAAGGCAGAAACATCTCTAGTGATTTCTGGCAATCTAACAATGTGGGAAACTGGCCTCATTGGGCATTATTTTCAACAATGGCATCAGCAACCAGCCACATTTCTGTGCCTCCTCTCATGTAGGTGTTCTACTATCAGCAAGAACAGGTTGTGTTCCCATTACTCGTGGTGTCTACCCAATATTCATTCCTCTCTTACCACTGCTGTGTCATGAGAGACACACTGAAGTGTCCTAGTGATGTCACACATCTGCCTTGAGTCTGTCCCAGGTCTATGAACAATTGCCAATTTTGTCCACATTCAAGATCCCTCCATATGAAGATGGCTGGCTGCTCTCATGGTTTCTCTGAAAGAAAAGAAAGACTGGACTGAACTTTAAAGTGGGGTACCACTGAATACAAAAGTTTATTTATCAGAATTATAATTTGGGAAGATGTTAAACTATGAGAGGTAGATCCAATGAAAAAGGATTTTTAAAAATTATGTTTACCATAGAGTGAATAAGGGGAAAATTCTCTTTATTCTCCATAAAAAAAAGTTTTGGGGGACCAGCAGTTGGCCTAATGGCTATGTCACTGGATTCCCACGTAGTCGACCACAGTTCGAGTCCCAGACACGGTGGCTAAAACTCACGCCGGGCACATGTGTGTGCATGCCCAAGATCCCGAGAGGAGAATGGAGGAGAAGGGATTGCAGCGTGGCCATCTCCCTGGGGTGTGATTTCTCGCTTTCTGTCTCTGTTTGTCTGTCTGGCGAGCACACGTGCCCTATTACCAAAAAAAAGAAAAAAAAAAAAGAAAGAAAGAAAGAAAGAAAAAAAAGAAACCTCTCCAAAAAAAGAAAAACAAATGTTTTTTAAAGAGAGAGAGAAAGCAAGAGAGAGAAAAATAAGGAGAGGCATCCTCAACAGGATCTCATGCCACAATCCCTCCCACAACCTCAGCCAGGCAAGATCAGAGGCATGACCAACCCAGGTAATGAACCCCAATCTTCTATATGGCTTTCAGCATTGCAATGCTACCATTGTGTCATTGCAGCTGGGCCTCCAAGGGAAATATTTAAGAGAGCTCACTAATGTGAGAATCCAGCTCTGCTGACACCTTGATAAGCCACGCAGTCTGTGGTATGTTGTCATATGTCTGTGTGGAAGAGGTAGTAATTGGAGTTCCATTAAGAATGCAAATTTCCCCTGATTTGGACAGAAGTACAGTCCTTAGTGTATACATTCATCAGCTCTCATTACCAACAACCACCAAAATCCCAGAAGCATATAACAGTAAGTATCATTTTCTGTTCACTGCACACTGGCTAGAAGTCAGTTAGTCTGAATGGACTTAGCTCCAGATTGCAGATTCATGTGTCATATTCTTTTTTTTTTTTTTTTTTGGAGAGGTTTTTGCTATAGGGCACGTGCGCTCGCCAGACAGACAGACAGAGAGAGACAGAGACAGAAAGCAAGAAATCACCCCCCAGGGGGGATGGCCACACCACAATCCCTTCTCCCCCATTCTCCTCTCGGGATCTTGGGCACGCATGCACAAGCACCCAGCATGAGTTCTAAGCCACCGGGTCTGGGACACAAACCACGGTCAACTATATGGGCGTCTAGCAACATAGCCATTACGATGTGTCATATTCTTTTTTTTTTTTTTTTTTGGAGAGGTTTTTGCTATAGGGCACGTGCGCTCGCCAGACAGACAGACAGAGAGAGACAGAGACAGAAAGCAAGAAATCACCCCCCAGGGGGGATGGCCACACCACAATCCCTTCTCCCCCATTCTCCTCTCGGGATCTTGGGCACGCATGCACAAGCACCCAGCATGAGTTCTAAGCCACCGGGTCTGGGACACAAACCACGGTCAACTATATGGGCGTCTAGCAACATAGCCATTACGCTGACTCTGTGTCATATTCTTGTGTTGCTAGCCAGCATCAACTAAGAGCACATTCTCATGGTGACAGCAGAAAAGAGCAAGCCCAACCATCATAGCACATTTCCGACCTCTGCTTCAGTGCATCCACTAACATCTCACTGACCAAAGCACATCACAAGGTCAAGCCCAGTCAAGGATGGGCAAATATATTACCCAGCCCCCATGAGCCATGGTAATATCATGAATATATAAGACTATTTGTATGGGAGTGAGAAATTGAGAGTAATTATTTGATCTATTGTACCTAGCTTCTAGGTACAGTATATTTTTAGGAGTTAAGTGGCCATGGGCTTGGTTTTATTCAATGAATTTTAGACTAGAACCTTACCACCAAACACATCTAAAACAATTGTCTCTGACAGCTTTTAGTGTAGTTGTCATTTCTCATTGCTGAGATTCAGCTGCCTTCAAAATGAATATTAACTAGATTAGCAACTACAACACAGCAACCATTTAGTACAAATCATCCTCTTTTTGTTTGTTTAAGCAGCTTGAAATATTTAAAAAGGTTTCATGTGAGAACCCAGCATCTCCTAATAAGTAGGATTTGATGACCTGAACATCAGGTGGATTTGCATCTGCCCCTCTAGTTGTCTGCTCTCTCCTGGTGCCACATTTCCTGCCACATCACTTTTCTCATTTAGGTTATGTAATTGATCCCTAGTGATACTTGAATTTATACCTCCAATGTAAAATACAGAGCTGTAACATTCTGAGATTCTCTATTGAGATAGGATATACTCTCAATATAAATGCATTTACATTATTGTTCTTCACATAGTCTCTGTATTTGGCAATGTTTAAGTTTGGGGTGAATTTCTAACTATAACATTTTTCTTGAATATAGACATTTCTTTTTCATATTCTATTCACAATCAGAAGGGAATATCTTCTGAACCAGGAATGTTCTAGGTTTCCATGCAGGAATGTTTTATTAAGGGTTGAAATCAGTATGATGCTTTATTAGACAGTGATCTCCATAGAAATAGAATAAGTAGGAGATAGATGATAGAAGACAGGCAATGATAGATTGATAGATATGGATAGATAGAGGATAGATAGATGACAGATAGATGAGAGGAAGGGAAGAATTTATTATAAGGATTTGGCTCACAAAATTATGGAGACTGTGAAGTCCCATGATTTGCACTTACAAGCTAAGGAATTAGTAAAAACCAGTATTGTAGTTCAGTCTAAGTCTAAAGACCTGAGAACGAGGGGAACTAAAAGTCTAACTCCAAGTCCAAGCGCAAAGGTCAAAGAACCTAGAGCTCTTACGTCTGAGGGAAGGAGATGATAGATGTCCCAGATCAAGAAGAAAGAGAAAGATTCTCCCTTCCTCCATCATTTTGTTCTACTTGGGGCCCCAACACTGCCTGTTCACAATAGCGAGAGAGGATCTTCTTTATTTAGCTCAGTCTACTCATTCAAATGCTAGTCTCTTACCTTCGCAGACACAACCAGAAGTTATGTTTTAATAATGATCTGGGCATCCCTTAGCCCTGTCAAGTTGACACATAAAAGTAAACATTACAGATGTTAAAGACACTTTGTGCAGAAACTATTTGGAAGCTCAGCTTAAACAGAAAGAAAGATCTTGTTATAGCTCCTCTCTGCTCACACAGCTTCCTTAGTCCACTGGCAGTCTTGTCCAAAGATTCATGTCCAGCTGGCAAGCCTAACATTGAAAGAAGCTTGCTTTGGGAACCAGCTACAGCTTTGAGTGGACTCTCAGGTATTCTCTGCTCCCCTCACTTCATCACAATGAAAATCATTCTATGAGGCATGTTTTTCGCAGGGAAGAACCTGAGGAAAAAACATATTGGAACTTGGAAGCAGCATAGTAGACAGGAACAAGAGCAATTAAAGACAAATGATTTTGGTTATTGTTGTTGATTAGTTTGGGCTAAGCAGCTGCTCTGGGAGAGAGAAAAAAGTTTAAAAAGAGAGTTCAGGAGCAGTGCATAAGAGAAGGCATGAAAGCTAGAAAAAATGAGAGAGATCCAGTAAAGCCAGAAGTGCCTTGAAAAGCAGATTGGAAAAGAGATTTCATCCTTCTTTCTTTCTTTGACTCTTTCTAACTAGTGATTAACTCTATGTGAGGCATCCTCCCAGGAGCTAGAAATAACATTTACAAAGTGTTTTGCTGTTAAAGGTATAAATAAATTGTTATCTCATTTAACCTGGTTTTTAAAAAGTCTGATCATACTTGCAACTCTTAGAAAATCCTATTTTTAACTAGACTCAGAGTTAGACATAGAAAAAGTTTTGAAAAAGGACAGCCCCTTGTCTTTGCAATCTGTTCCTGATGTTTTTCTTTGCCAGCCTTCAGTCTTTCAGACAAAGGTTTATCATATCCTGTGGCTTTGTCCTTATTTCCTTATCTTTAAAAAAATATAGTGTTTCTTTCAAGCAATATGCTGACATTTGTGTCGTAGGGCACATTGAGTGAGAGGACACTTATATCTAATACTTTGGTCCTGAGCTTCTTACCTTCCTCATTTAGGGGCTTTCTCACAGAAAAACTGATGTTTTTGTTTGGTTGGTTGGTTTTTGCTTTTGTTTTTAAGAGGGAAAGATTGAAAATGTAGATGCTGCTGGCTTTTGGGGGCCTCAGGTGATGAGGCAGAGCACAATAATAAGCCAGTCCAGGAATATCCTTCTCTGGTAAAAAAAAAATTTTTTTAATAATACCCAAGTTGGGAACATTGACAACCACAATACAACCTTGAACAGATTTTCACTTCCTTTCTTCATGTCTCCTTGGTCTATAACAGGAATGCTCCTTACTCGGGAGCTGGCAGACACAGAGATGAGTTAAGACAGCCTGTTTGCCATTCCTACCACTGATTCATACCACACGATCCTTACACTGTTCACTAAGGGTGTCAGCAGTGTCTTCTGTGGCCATACACATATAAAAGAATAAAGTTTGCAGACCATCCACGTGAAAGAGTTTCTTTCAGTCAGTGTCTGGGAAGGAGATATTCAACTTATTCCTGAAGCAGCTGGTTACCTCTAAGATTTCATAAAAGAAAAATAAATTAAAAGAGCTTACCTCATTAATCATTACTACAACTCTCTGGGCATTGTTATTCCCATTTTACATATAAGGAAACAGGCAGAAAAAATATAATGTTTTCTCCAAATCATTATTCCATGAATGGTAGAGGCAAAATTTGAATCTTTGTTTCTGATGCCATAAGCCATACTCATTCCACTACAGGAAATCTCCATCTTTAGAGAAGTAGGTGGGATTTTAAGATTCAAAATTGTTAAAATTGCCCAAATTTGTACAGGTACTAAACAGCACAGTCAGCATTTGAAGCTTAGCCTTTTTGACTCCAGGTCCTAAAATCTTAGGCACTTTGATGTATAGGATGTTTAAATCCTCCCCACAGATAGGCATTGA